TGACCAGGCTGGTCTTGAACTCCTGACCTCAGGTGATTTGATTGCCTTGGTCTCCCAAAATTCTGGGATTACAGACGTGAGCCACTGCTCCAGGTGGCTACTTCACTTTTAATGGTTGCATAATATTCTTCATCAGAAAGTGGGAATAATTAGGTTAGGCGCTGTGGCTCACGGCTGTAATCCTAGTACTTTGGGAGGCTGAGTTGGGAGGATTGCTTGAGCTCAGGAGTTTGAAACCAGTCTGGGCAATATGGCAAAACTTTGTCTCTATACAAAAAATCCATAAAATACCGGGTGTGGTGGCGCACACCTGTAGTCCCAGCTACTTGGGAGGCCGAGGTGGGAAGATTGCTTGACCCCAGGAGGTTGAGGCTACCGTGAGCTGAGATCGCGCCACTGCACTCCAGCCTGGGTGACAGTGAGACTCCATCTGAAAAAAAAAGTGTTAATAAGTAAAATTACTTTTAGAGGATCATGTCACGAACCTTGACAAGAGTTGTTCTGTAAAGCTACCTGGCATGGAAAAAACTCAATTAAGTTAGCTCTTCCACGGATGGACTTATATAACCAACTCCTTCCAACAGGCATTGAAGTTGCTTCCACTATTTTGCTGCGATGAATAAGGCTGAGCAACATTAATCTTTGCTCATATCTTTGGTCATTTCCTTTGTAAATTTCGGGCTGCTGGGTGTGCACATTTTAAAATTAACTTCCTCGTCACGCAGGAGAACAGAGAAAGGAAGGGGCTTGCCCGGGGTCACACAGGGAGTTAGCGTCAAAGTCAGGACCAGAAACCAGCCAGGGTCCTCTAACTGGAGCTCTTTCAGCTGGGGACCTAGAAAAAGCCCCAGCTGGAAGCGGGAGGGAGGAGGAAGTGAAAGAACCAGGTGCGGAGGCCGAAACGGCGGCGGGAAGAAGGTGGGGCCAGCTGGGAGGAGGGGGCGGCTGAAGCTAAGAGGTCGCCTGGCAACACGCGCGGCGCGGCGTTCGAACGGAAGCGAGGAACCAATCAGGAAGTCCGGGGCGAACCATTCTGGTGTGAAGGGGGGTGGCGTGCTCACTTCCCCTTCCTCGGCGCCCCAGAGACTTCCCCTCCGGTGGGGTCCTTTGACAGTCAGGGCCACTCGCTCAGCTCCGCTGAGAAGGGCAGCTCTGAAGAGGACCCCAAGGGTCTCCACGCGGGGCTAGGGCCTCCCGGGCGTCGTTGGGAGCGGCCGTTCCCGGCCGGGGTCCGAGCTGTCAGCCTCTCCAAAGTCTACGCTGGAGGAGCCGAGACACGCCTAGCGCGGGCTCCAGGTGAGGGCGGGGGTGGTTCCGGGTGCGACCCCGGGTCTGGGGGTGCTCGGTTCCCCGAGCGCCTGCTGTCTGAGTTTTCCCCGCGTTGTGCCTGCGTGTCATTTCACAGATGAGTTCTCCGAGGCTCAGGGAGGCAAGTGTCCCGGCCCGGCGAGCTCTGGCAGAGAATCCGGTTCAAGTCTTTCCGCCCCACCTCGCAGCCCCCAGTCTAGTCACAGTTGGATTTGCCTTGATAGGCCCAGACGGGCAACCAGTAGTCACTTTCCCAGCGCTTTATCGGCAGGAACACGGCCTATGGACCCCTGGCTGGATCACCTATCCTACCACCCCGAGGTATCCTCGGGATACCCCTTTTGGGGGTCTGTGTTTCCTTTTCCGCAGTTGGACTCGGCTCATTTGGCTCCCTTCTGCCTACGGGGCTCTGAATTCGGTTAGGGCTTGGACTTGGCTTATTTGGCGACCTTCTGCATACGGGGCTCTGAATTCCAGAGCTGCCCCTCTCAGAGGACCACTCTGGGGATCGGACGGACTGACATTTCTGGGCTGGACGTAGGGGCAGCAGATTCTCTGGCCCCCAGAGTTGCTGTTGGCCTCTTGGGAATCTGCCCCATTTTGGGGAAGGGAATAGAGCCAGTCCCTAAACTAAAGCCACTAGTCACCAGAGACTTTGGAATTTGGGGTGGGGCTGGGATCCTCCTAGGTGGAGCATCTGACCCAGGCCAGTCCCTGCTCTGTCTCCTGGGGACACCCCCGCTCCCCAGGTTGTTGTCAGTCTCCTTTTGTAGGTCGGAAAACTGAGGTTCTAAGAAGTTATGCCCCTTGTCGAAGTCACAGTCAGACAATGCAGTGGTTGGCCCCTAGTCCCTCTGGCTTCAATCTTAGAATCCTTGACACTCTGAATCATACATTTTGAGAGTCTTGAATCTCTTCACAAGGGAGTTACTTATCCTGTCTCCTCTGGAGCCTCCTCCTGGCTCTGGGGACAGGAGCTCAGAGGACTCAGAAAGAAAATAAGACTTTCTTTTATACTTTCAACAAATATTATTTATTGACTTCATAAGCCCTGCTCTTCTTCTTGCATGTTGTATTTTTCTCAGCATTTACTCCACCTTATGTCCTATATATTTTACTTATTAGTACATTTATTATCTTCCACTAGAATGTGATGCAAGGCAGGGGCTGAGGCAGTTGAGGTCCTCACCACCAGTGCAAAATTTAGGGATGCCCAAAACCTCAGTAATCAACATAACTGAAACTAACATTTATGGACCATTTGTGTGTTGTGCAGGCAGGAGGTGAACTCACACAGCCCTCAGTGAGTGCTGTCCTCCCATCTCTGTCACAATTACAAATGCATCCCCCACACCCAGCTGTCCCACTTCAAGGCAAAATTCTGTAGATGCAGTGATGCTGCAATGTGGTTTGTAGGCAGAAATGAGGCACATGCTAAGTGCCACCAGTAGGGGATGATGGGAAATTATACTGCGTAGCTGGGAAAAAAGGACATGGCTATTCTTTATGTACTGATGTGGCTCCAATAACAAAATACATTATTGAGCAAAAAGAACAAGACGAAAATGGTACACACAGCATCATGATGCCATATGTGTAAAAATGGAGACAGGATATATATTCATACTTGCCTGCATCTGCCTAAAGTCTCCCAGGAAGGATAAGCAACTGTCTGGTCACAGTGGTACCTGCAGGGAGGAGAACTGGGGACAGGGTGAGAGGAGTTCTTTTTTTTTTAACTTCATTGTCTTTATCGTTTTTGAATTTTGAGTTGTGTGCATGTATCACCTGGTTTAAAATTTTTAAAATTAAGGCAGGGTGTGGTGGCTCACGCCTGTAATTTCAGCACTTTGGGAGGCTGAGGCAGGTGGATCACCTGAGGTCGGGAGTTTGAGACCAGCCTGGCCAACATGGTGAAATCTCGTCTTTACTAAAAAATACAAATGTTAGTCAGCTGTGGTGGCACAAGCCTGTAATCTCAGCTACTCGGAGGCTGAGGCAGGAGAATCGCTTGAACCCAGGAGGCAGAGGTTGCCGTGAGCTGAGATCATGCCATTTCATTCCAGCCTGGGTGACAAAAAGAAAGCTCTGTCTCAAAAAAAAAAAAAAAAAAAAAAAATTATATATATATAGACATATTTATAAATCATGAGACCACTGCCCTGTCCCTGACTTGCTGTGTGACATTGAGTGAGTTTCTTCAGTCTCTGGGCTAAGAAGTTATGATGTTGCACTCTGGCCTGGGCAGAGGGCAATCTAGGATAGGAAGTGGGCTTGGCTGTGGCTCTGCCTCCCCCTCACCTTTGTCATCCTGCATGCCAGGTCCTTCCCCAAGACCTTGCATGTTTTATCTCTCTCACTCTGCCCCTACTGCAAAATCCTTTGTCTCCATTTTGCAATCTCAAGTGCAGACCTACGCCTAGAAGATCAATTTGGTAGAGGTGAGCATATCAGTGGGCCGAGATGTCCACATCCACACCCCCATTCCACAGCCTACTCCCTTCTCCCTTCCTAAAGTTTGTGCAAGGCCACCCTGAGCAAGGCTGATTCCTGGGCAGGCCAGGGCACCAGCGTCTGGGAGGCCTCCAGAAATAGCTCAGGGCCTGCTGTGGCTCTGGAGATGGCCTAGCTAGGTATCTCTGACCTGGACAGCTGGACTGAAATTGAGCTGGGCTGCCCCGCTGGCTGGCCTCTTGCCACTGCCTGGAGCCTTCCTGATCTCCTCTGGGGCAGGCAAGGACTCCCCAAATCTAGGCCAGGCTTCCACGGAAGGGAAAGAAAGAAGCAGGTGGAAGGAAGGGGGCGGATTGGGTGTAGAATGTCATGAAAATTATAACCATTGAAATCCACACCTCCCACCCCCTCACCAAAGAATAAAAATCACTGACACCTCTTGAGCACTTACTGTGTTCTTAGTACTTTACAAGTATGAACTAATTTAATTCTCTCAACTCTGTGACATAAGGTAGTTACTGCTGTTCTTATTTCCATCTTGCAGAGGGGAAACTGAGCACAAGAGGTTTAATAATTTGCATAAGATCACCTAGAGGTAGCATTTGAACCCAGGGAGTCTGGCTCTAAATTTTACATTGCTTTTTTTTTTATGGGGGGATGGGGTGAGTGTAGTAAAATGTATATAAAATAAAATTTAGCATTGTAACCACTTTTAAGAGTACAGATCAGCGGCATTAAGTACATTCACACTGCTGTACAACCATCTCCACCATCCATCTTCGGAATGTTTTCATCTTCCCAAAGTGAAACTTCATATCCAATTAACAGTTCCCCATTGCCACACCCCACAGTGCCTGGCAATCACCATTCTACTTTCTATTTGAGTAAATTTGACTACTTTATGTACCTCTAGGCATTATAAATGGAATCATACAGTATTTGCCTTGTGTGTCTGGTTTATTTCACTTAGTGTAATATTTTTAAGCTTCACCCACATTGTCTGTCATGTGTGTTAGAATTTCCTTTTCAAGGCTGAGTAATATTCTAACATTCTACATATATGCTCCCTTCTGTTTATCCATTCATTCCTTGACAGACACTTGGATTGCTTTTGGCTGTTGTGATAAATGCTGCTTTGAGCATGGTTGTTTCAGTTCCTGCTTTTAATTGTTTTGGATATACACTCAGAAGTGGAACTGCTGGGTGATCCTATGATAATTCTCTTTAGTTTTAAAAAAAATTTGTTTTAATTATTATTGTTATTTTTTGAGATGGAGTCTTGCTCTGTCACCCAGGCTGGAGTGCAGTGGCGCGATCTTGGCTCACTGCAACCTCTGCCTACCGGGTTCAAGTGATTCTCCTGCCTAAGCCTCCCCAGTAGTTGGGACTACAGATGCATGCCAACACACCCGACTAACTTTTGTATTTTTAGTAGAGATGAGGTTTCACCGTATTGGTCAGGCTGGTCTCGAACTCGTGACCTTGTGATCTGCCCACTTTGGCCTCCCCAAGTGTTGGGATTACAGGTGTGAGCCACCATGCCCAGCCCAATTCTGTTTAATTTTTTGAGGAACAACTTTACTGCTTTTCACAGTGACTGTACCATTTTATGTGTTCATCAGCAGTGCACAAAGTGCTAATTTCTCAACATCCACACCAACACTTGTTATTTTCTGTTTGTATTTTTTTTTGGTAATGGCCGTCTTTAGGGGTGTGATGTGGTATCTTATTGTGGTTTTAATTTACATTTCCCTAATGATTAACGGTGCTGAGCATTTTTTCTTGTGCTTATTGGCCATTTGTGTATCTTTGGAGAAATCTCTATTCAAGTGACTCTGCATTCTTAACCATTACCTGTGTTTCTCTTAGATTTGTAACCTTTGAGAATAGTGGGTCAGGATTCTGGGCCGATGAAGGCCTCCCTCAGGAGCTGGGCACTGGATGATCTGTTTGATTGAATAGTTATCATAGCCCACACTTTGGTGGCATTTGTCTTTCATGGGTCTCATGCAGAGAGGGAGGCACTCTTGTGAGTCCTCCCAATTACAGTTGGGGAAACTGGGATATGGAGAAGTTGAGTATCTTACCCAAGGTCTCATAGCTAATCATGGTGGAGCTGGGATTTGAATGGGTTCTGGAGTCCATGCTGTACCTTACAGATATGGCCAGGGGGATGCAGTGGCAAAGGCCACTGTAGGCAGCACAACCAGTGTGTGCAGAGGTTTGGATATGGTGGCTTTGGAGAAAGAACAGGTCTGGGGTAGAAGTGGTCAGAACCCAGCTTGAATGGGGGTGACCTGAAGTGGGAGGAAGAGTAGGACAGGTCTGGAAAGGCCAGGAACAGCGTCAGAGTTTGGGGAGGAGGCTTGGTGCTTAGGGACCCTGGCCTTTTTACTTTTCACAAAATATTTATTAATTATAAAGGAAAAAGAATAACTGCACAGTGGAGAAATTTGGCAGATACTGCCTTAACCAAGGAATTGGCTGATCACTAAGATTGAGACAAACTGTTATGGGTGGGTGTGGTAATGTACCTACAGTCCCAATTACTCAGGAGGCTGAGATGGGGGGATTGAGCCCATCTGTTTGAGGCTGCAGTGAGCTATGGAGTACACACTCTGACCTGAGCAACGCAGTAAGACCTCCTCTCTAAAAAAAGAAAAAGGAAGTCTCTCAATACCATGTACTAAGGACACAACATCACTTCTTTGTTATTCCTGACAGATCTGTTTAACTTTCTCTCTTTCTTCCTCTCTTTTTCTTCTTCCTTTTTCTTCTTCCTTACTGATGTAAGAAAAAGCTTTATACATTTAATGTATACCTCTCGATGAGTGGCCTTGGCCTTTGAGGTGTCCTGGGTCCAGTCCAGCCACTTGTCCAATGGTGTTTCCTCTTGTGTTTGGTCCCTAGAGGAAGAAAATATGGAAGGGTGTGATGGACCTCATGGCCCGGTGGGAGAGATGGCAAACACGTTATATTTCCTATCCCAGATAAGAGAGCATCTAAAACGACAGGATGCAGTGAATGCTCAGGAAGGAATAAAATGGGTGAAAGCCGAGACCCCCTTTTTGGTGAGATCTGAAGTGGGTGAGGGAGGAGGTTCCAGGCAGAGAACAGCTGGTGCAAAAGCCCTGAGGCAGCAAAGACCTTGTGTTCAGGAATAGCAGGGAGGGCTTTGTGGCCAGAGCAGGAAAGAGGCTGGAGATAAGATGGGAGATTTGAATAAGGACTAAGTCCTGGAAGGCCTGAAGGCCAAGTGGGGAGCTTGGATTTTATTGTAAGGGAGCCACAGGAGGGTTTAAACCCGGCAGTAATGAGATCTTACTTTTGCTGAGAGAACATTGCCATGATTGCCCCATTTTACAGCAGAGGAAACCAAGACTCAGAACCATAACCAGGGAGTGCTTCCTAAGGTGGGTTCTTCCTCTGGGGTCCAGCTGAGGAGGCAGTAGATTATTTGGGAATTTCTTGGAGGACACATCTGGTGAGGGGCCAAAGCTCAACACTGAAAACACTGTCTCTTCCACCTCCCCTCCCCACATATGAGCCTGGGTTCCAATCCTGGCTCTACCGTTTATCAGCTGTGTAATTTTGAGCAAGTGGCCTTACCTCTTGGAGCCTCAGTTTTCTCATCCAAAAGTGAGCACAATAATGGTAGCCACCTCACAGGGTAGGTGTGAGGATTAGAACAGTGTCTGGTACAAAGAAAGTGTTCAGATGAGATTTGCTTTTTTTTTATTATTATGAAAATCATTATTATTGTTTTGCTGTTACCATTAGTGCCTGAAGGAGCCTTCCCTCCCCATCCCCCATTTCTGCCTCAGTGGAGGGCTAGGCAGGGCCCTGCAGGCCATTTGGGGGATGATGGACTTGTTGCCCCGGCCCCTGTAAAGTCAGTGACTAGAGGAGGCTGCAGTGCCCAGGGGAAGGAAAGCTGATGTGAATCACTGCCGGCCTCCTCATGCCCTACACACTAGTCCTGGCCCAGCTCCCACAGGCACAGACAGGGAACAGGAGCCTCTTCAACCTGTGCAGGGCAGAGGGCTGAAGCCTGGGGGACCCCTCCTTCTCTGGGTCTCAGGATTCCGGTGGAAAATGGCCTATCAAATGCGCCTACCTGAAGTGAAGTATAGGGCTTGGGCTGGAAGAGGTGACAGTCACCTCCTCACTTCCCTCCTGGGAATTCCTTCCTGCAGGGCTGCAGTCTCATGGGATTAAATGAGGAGACTGGGGGTTTAAATAAGTATGGTGCTTGGCACTAAACAATTCTAGTTATTGCTGCTACTATTACAGCTGTTGTTACGGATGTGAACTGCTTTCTGGCTCAGCCTGTTCCAGAGGGACCGACTCCACATGTGACAGAGTGGAGCCAAAGAGGTCCCGAAACCTGGTCAGGGACACACAGCTAGGAAGTGGTGGCATTAAGGCTTGGTCCGAGGGAAAGTGCCCAGGCTGGACTCCCCCGAGTGATTTTGGGCTAGTGACTCAGCCTCTCCCAGACTCAGTTTACCATTAGTCAAATGGGTAACAATTGAACTCACCTGATAGTGATTGTTGGGAAGATTAAAATGGGTTACCTGATACCAAGAAAAGCACTTTCTTGTGCCTAGCACAGTGAACAGCACCCGATGGTCGTTCTGAGTCTGGGAGAGGGGCTCAGTTTGTCCATCTCTAAGATGGGTGCGCTTGCCTGCCAGGGCCACAGGTACTCCGCGCGCCAGGTGTGCGGTAGGCGGGTCTCGGCTCCCGGAAGAGCGTTCCTGGGTGGTCCTGGAGCGGGTCGGACCCGGTTCCTGAGCCAGGCCATCTGCCAGCGGCCGGGGCTCGGATTCCGGCCCCTGCCTGGCTTTTCTTCCTCCTTTCGGGTAATACCTGGGCCGGCGGGTTCATTTGCCCGCAGCCGCCGGAAGTTGCGCAAACTCAGGTTGCCTGAGCCCCAGGTGGGCTGGGCTGGAGGAGCGCAGGCCAGCCGCGCGGGCGCAGCCAGGTACGTGAGGATCGGGGTGGGGGGCGCCCAGCCGGGGTAGTGGGCGGCCCTCCCTCCCCGGGACGGCGGGAACCGGGCAGGGATCCACCTTTCGGCTTCAAGAGGACCGCGCGGATCGTGCCGCCCTCTCCCTCATTTGAGAGTCAGGCCAACTCGTACTCAGGGGCGGTGAGTGGCGAGGGTCACACAGCGCCCCGCTAGCTGTCCCCCATCCCCCGCCACCAGGAGTCCTCAAGCTTGCCCCGAATTGAGGAAGAGCAAAAGCCAGTGCCTGGCGCCGAGTTCCCCCAACCTTGCCCCGCGGCCTCCCGAGGCTGACGCCGGGGAGTGGGTGGGGAGGGGGCGAGGTGGGGATGCGTGCCCCGGGGATGCAAACCAGAAGGGCTGGCGGTTGGGGGCATTCATGGGATGCATTTGAATCCGTGCTGGGGCACTGGGCGAACAGAGGAGGCCCCAGAGGGGACATTGAGTCCCGCTTGGGGACTGGGACCCTGGCTTCACCTGGCAAGAGCCGCTGCACCTCCGTTTGCCCACTCCTGACATGGGGCAGTTGAGGTCAGCTCACTGATCAGCCTCTGTTTTGGGCCTGCTTTGTCCGCGATGCGGCCTGGGACACACCCTCTTGGGGCTTACTTAGAGACCCCTGCGTGGGAGTGGTCTGTGGACCTGGGTCGACAAAGTCTTCATAAAGACCAGGAGCCTGGTTGGTGGTGCCACCTTTTTGCCAGATGCTGAGGAAAGCCCTCGACCTGTTTGATCTCTTCATCCTTATCGTGACCTGGAGGCTCCGGAAGGTCTATTTTTAACTTCATTTCGCGGATAAGGTAACCGAGTCTGTAAAGCGGCGTAGCTGCTTGCGCAAGGCGCACAGCAGGCGGGTGGGTGAGCCGGAGGCCGGCGGGCCCGCAGCGCCAAACTTGGGGTTGGCCCTCGCATCTGTCCCGGCCCCTCCAGAGGGGACACCCCAGGGCCAGCAGATCGGGCCAGGGGGCTGGGGACCCGATCGGGGATGTGTACAGGGTTTCTGCCCTGGCCCCGCCCGTCGACCTCCTTCCTCCCTCTTTCCCTGGATGGTGCCTGCGAGGGAACTGCCACTGCGGACGGGTTGGACTGGTTTGGGAGGTGGCAGCCTGGGAGTGGGGCAGAGTCTGGCTGCCTCTACTGTGCTCCCTTCCTGTCAGGCCCTTCCCACCTGAGGTCTCCTGGGGGTCGGCCCTGGTGGGGTGAGCCTTCCTTTCCTATCCACTCCATCTCTTCTACCTTGGGAGCAGCACCCAAGGTTCTATTCCCAATTCAACGCTGCTGCAGAGGTCTCCAGCTGGTGGTTGGGGGCCAGATGGAGGAGGAGGGGACAGATATAGGATTGCAGACATATTTTGTTTGCTGTACATGCAATGTTTTAATAATCATTATTATTGAATATGCCGACAGTTAAGAATCTAGAGTTTTCATGTACTTCTGGATTTCCAGCTTCCTAGAATACATACCACCTTGGACCCAGATGCCTGCAGCAGGCAGGGGGTACCTAGATGTCTTTAGTTTATCCCTAGTCGGCTGGTGGCTATTGAACTGGACAGCACAGGTCTAGATGGTTTGGACTACATGTCCTCTTGAGGAACACCTAGATTAAGTACCTGCCCCCTCCATTTTACAGATGAGAATATTCGGGACTTGGTATATAGGTTTTCTTCTGCCCCATCTCCAAGGGGCCTGTGGGATGACTGTGGGCTTGACTTTACTTGGAAATAGGGTCAGGGTTGGCTTGATGCCTGGGGAATCAGGCCCTGATACTTGGGTGCCCAGGTAGACACTTGTGCATCCAGGCGTGTGCCCTTCTCCCTATGAGTGCCCATTCCATGGCTGCAGGCAGATTGAGGGTCTGCTAGATGCCTCCATGCAGGGCTATGTGATTTTGGACATTCCCAGCTTCTCTCAGTGCAGCATAGCTCAGGGCTGTTTCCACATGACAGCCATTTGTGGATCACCGTGGGCCATCCAGTTCCATATTGGAAGCTGAGGGATGTCTGGACTCCACTGGGGCGGGGGTGGAGATTTTCATTGCTCTTCCCTATAAGCTCTGCCCTTCGCCTGGGGCCTGGCATGTCCAGGCGGGTGGATGGCACAGGGTAGCTTCCTGCCTGGATGGGTGAGGGGTGGAGGTGGTACCAGGCTCCCGGTGGGCAGTCGAGGTGGGGCGTGGGGCTGGAGCCCCTTTTCTTGGTCATTTAGCCCTAACATCCCTGTGCCAGCACCTACCTTCCTTGGTGGTAAGAGGCAGAGACATCTACTCGCTGGATTATTAAGCAAGTTGGCTACCTCTCTGGGCTTTAGTTTCTCCACCCAAAAAAGGTCTGTTGAGAGGACACTGAGGTTGAGTTGACTGGTGCATAGCGCAGAGCCTGGAGCCTCCCTTGCTCCTGTTAGCGCGTGGCCTTGCGCTGTCTTTTCTGCTCAGGTTGCCCAGGTCTTTCTTCTCTAGCACCTTTTTTCCACTCTAGTCCTCTGCTGGGCCTGGTTCCCCCGGAGCTGAAGGGAGGGGGGTGCGGGTGGGGCCCCAGGCTCAGCAGCTGTTGCCTTGTGCCTGCTGATTGGCTCATTATGAAGAAGGGGCGTGGTCTCTACCGTATAACTGGGAAGGCGTCTTACCCTCTCTCAGCCGTGGCTGAGCCTCTTTGTCTGAGCGCAATCGGCTTCTTTTTCTCTCCTTCACTGCAGCAGTTGCCGGCGTCCAGCTGCCTCCGTTCTGCCCGGATCTCTAGCTCCTCATTTCTCCAGTCTCCTCAGACCAAAGCCCTCGGGATATGCAGCAGCCATGCCTGTGGACACGCTGAGCCCTGGAGCCCCGGCCGCCCCTGCCCTACCTTGCCGCCTGCGGACCAAGGTCCCCGGCTACCTGCTACGGAGGCCGGCAGATGGTGGAGTCCGGAAACCGAGTGCTGTGGAGCGCCTGGAGGCCGACAAGGCCAAGTACGTCAAGAGCCTGCATGTGGCCAACACCCGCCAGGAACCTGTGCAGCCCCTGCTGTCCAAACAGCCACTCTTTAGCCCTGAGACTCGCCGCACAGTGCTCACGCCCAGCCGCCGAGCCCTGCCTGGCCCCTGCCGACGGCCCCAGCTGGACCTGGACATCCTCAGCAGCCTCATCAACTTGTGTGATAGTCCCGTGTCTCCTGCTGAGGCCAGCCGCACTCCTGGACGGGCAGAGGGAGCTGGCCAGCCTCCCCCAGCCACCCCTCCACGACCGCCACCCAGTACCTCTGCGGTCCGCCGAGTGGACGTCCGCCCTCTGCCTGCCTCACCTGCCCAGCCCTGCCCGTCATCGGGTCCTGCCGCCGCCTCCAGCCCAGCCCGGCCACCGGGTTTGCAACGCTCTAAGTCGGACTTAAGCGAGCGCTTTTCTAGGGCAGCCGCTGACCTTGAGCGCTTTTTTAACTTCTGCGGCCTGGACCCGGAGGAGGCAAGAAGGTTGGGTGTGGCCCACCTGGCACGGGCCAGCTCGGACATTGTGTCCTTGGCTGGGCCCAGTGCTGGGCCGGGCAGCTCTGAAGGGGGCTGCTCCCGCCGCAGCTCGGTTACTGTTGAGGAGCGGGCCCGGGAGCGCGTCCCCTACGGCGTGTCGGTGGTGGAGCGCAATGCCCGCGTGATCAAGTGGCTGTATGGGTTAAGGCAGGCACGGGAGAGCCCCGCAGCTGAAGGCTAGGCTGCCACTGGACCTGGTATTCGCCACAGGACAGATCTTACAGAGGGAAGTGGCCCCTGGACCTCTCTTGCATCCATTCTCTGGATCTGCATGCCAGAGGCTTCACCCTGGTGTGAACTTGGCATGGAGGCAAAGGCTTAGAGGCTGGACCAGCATTCTTGGGCAAGGACTGACCCTGGAGGGTTTTGCTCTTGACTTTGGACAGCCGAGAAACCCTCCTTCCACCCCAATACAAGGTTTTTGACATGAATGTATTCCTCCTTAGTTCCTCTTGTGGGGCTGCATTTGGGGTGCTTTGCCCTCCCCTCTGAGAGTGAGGGCCAAGGAATCTCCTCCATCCTGTCTCCCCAGTGGCTCTGTATCCTTCCTTCCTTCCTTGGCCTCTGTCCTTTGCTGACGTCCTCTTCCTTACCCAGCAGAACTCACCCTGGGGTCGTGGCAGCGGGGAGGGGCCTATCCACTGCTCTTCCTAGTCCTTGGCAGCTGGCCTTGGTGGGTAGACGATGTTGGGGCTGGTTAGGAATCTGCACTGCTTTGACTTACCTCCCCTTGGTTAATAAACACAAATGCTTGTTTCTCAAGGGCTGGGTCTTCGGACTCTTCTGTGTTCACAAGAGAAGAGGTGAGAGAAGTCTTGGGGTGGGGCCATCAAAACAGTAATTGTTTACCCCAAGGGCATGGTGGTAGGGCATGACTATAGCTGCCGGCCTGGCCAAAGGCATGTCCTCCGGGTGGGTTCTCATAACTCTCCTGGAAGGCTGGCAGGCCTGCTTCATTGAGGAAGAAATAGGTCCAGCCACCAGTGAGTTGGGATAGAGCTGGGAGTAGAAATGGGGTCTTTCCCCTGCACCAGGAAGGGAGCCTGCAGGGGAAAGGCTGATGGGTTGCATAGAGTCTCCCCAGCCATGAGTGTTTCATCCTCCCACCACCTTTGCCCAGTTCCCAAGGGGGCAGGAAGCTCAGAGAGGCCAAACACTGAACTTGAGGTCACATAGACTGTAGAGTGAGGATGGGAAGTGGGAGTTCATGGAGGATGAGGAAGTTGGGCTGGATGGCACAAAATGAGTGGCCTTGCCTGGTGATCCTGGACAAGCCAGTCTCCCTCTGGGCCTTATTATTGGGAGAGTTAGGCCTCACAGTCCTCCTTGGGTTGGGGCACTGGTGCATTCTGAGCCCTTCATGCTATATCCAGTACCTGGGGAAAGGGGAAGAAAGGGGCTGGCACTGGGCTTCGAGGCCTCATCTCCTTCCAGTCTCCCTCCACGTCAGTTACCTACTGGGAGACTCCACCTTGGCTGGTGGAGTGGCTAGGGCTGGCTGGGCTTGTGAAGGGTGAAAGTGGGGGATGGCCTTTCTGGGGCCCCATGGTGGGAGTGGGGAGGGGGTGGGTGGCGCTTCCTTTCACAGGCTGCCTTGGCTTCAGCACTCAGAAACAGGAAGCTCTAATGGGGGCCCTGGTGACAGGTTTGATGTAGGTTTTATTTTAAGCATAAAGAGGAGATTTCCGTTGGGCTGTTGACAAATATCCAGGTCAGCCCAGCTGTCCATCCGTCCCTCTGTCTGTCAGTCTCCCTGTCTACAGCTAGCCCACAGGGGCCTGGGATGGGCCTGGGCAGTTTGGGGAAAGTAGGGAGAATTGGGTTCTAGAAGAGACTGGGTTCCAGCTCATGAGACTGCAGCTCATGATACAGATGGGGAGACTGAAGCATGAGGAGGGTGGTGACTTACCCACAATCCCCCAAAACTGCTGGTGCCCAGCAGTTTTGACAATGCAGGAGCTGGGCCTCCAGGGTCCCCATGCTAAAGGAATGATGGTGTCAGGAGAGAGAATCCAGCCAGGTTCTGCAGAGGTGGTGCCCTTTGAGGTGTCGAAGACTTCCTGGGAAACCTTGTTAGAATTCAGGGCTACTCATTGCCCCTTGCTGTGACCTGGCAGCTCCCGAGCAATCCAAGAAAGTGGATGAGCTGGCTGCATTTTGCATGTGAAGAAATTTGAGGTTCAGCTTACAGAACTGGTGGGTGATACCTTGTTCCAGAAGGAGGGTTCAGTGCTTGAATCCTCAAGGTGGCCTTTTGAGGGCCAGATATATTGTCAGAGTAAGATGCTGAGCTCAGGGAAGGATAGTGACCTGTGAGCTGTCACACAGCACATCTGCAGGACAGCCTAGGGTCACACTCTTGCCTGCCAGACGAATCACAGTCTGGATTCCTGATTCTCCAACACATACCTCTTCACTCTTCCTCATCTTGGCAGCCTTTTCTTCTGGTCACTTTATTACTGAGCGTCTGCTGGGTGCCCAGCAGTGGATATGACAGACATGGCCCCTGCCCTAGTCTGGAGAATAGAACGGGCAACTAAAAATTCAGCACGTAAATAGTGTTAGAATGTAAAGCAGGTATACTCAAGGACTTCTGCCCTGAAACCGGAGCTGTTCCCAGGGGCTGGGCCAGGGGACAGCTGAAACGAAAATTTCTTTCCATAAATCCACTGGGAGGGTCTGTTGGGGAGAAAGCAGGGAGGGATTCTTGGAAGTGGGGAAGGTGCCAGACTGAACCTTGATTTGGTCTTGGTATGGCTTGGTCTTGGGAGGGGTCCCCTGTTCCAGGATTCTGGAGTCTCCCAGCCTTTCCTGCCGGCATCTGTCGAGGGAGCAGGGCAGGGGGGTTTTGTACTCCTTCCTCCCCCTACTCTGTAGCCTCAGGATCTGTGGAAACAGCTCCTCTATTGTTCTGCCTCCAGTTGGAGCGTCAGCCCTTCGAGGGCCTGCAGCTGCTGTCCTGTCTCCTGGGGCTGCCCAGTCTCCGAAGCAGCTCCCCCAGGCCAGCTTGGCCCCAGCTGCCTAGCCCCCTAATTAGGCAGAGATGAGATCTGCTCCCTGATCCATTTCCCACCACCTAATTATATACACGTGGATTTGGGAGCCAGGCAAACTGGCTGCTCATGTCTATTATGAAGGTGGGATGGGCCCTGGGAAAAGCAGCCCCCCACAGACCTCAGTTTACCCTTTTGGCAGAGGATGGGGTGTAGCTGCAGAGGCCTGCTCCTGTCCTTCGTGACATAGTTATGTTCCTGCTACCAAAACGTTCAAGGAGACCCCCACATCTTGCCTGATATCCTGTGTACAGGGGAGCCGGGAAAGGCTGAGGAATTCAGCTATGGGTTCTTGGCTCAGGACCCCAGGGTTGGGTGGGGATACAGAGGAGAGCGTGGCTGCAGTTGGCTGCCAGGTAGATTGCATGTAAGAGAGCTTAGAGGTGTGCCGGTCCATTCCGTGGTTCACACCTGGAATCCCAGCACTTTGGGAGGCCAAGGTGGACGGATCATTTTGGGCCAGGAGTTCGAGACCAACCTGGACAATGTGGTGAAACTCCCTTTCTGCTAAAAATATAAAAATTAGCAGGGCTTGGTGGCAGATACCTATAATCCTAGCTACCTGGGAGGCTGAGGCATGAGAATCGTTGGAATTCAGGAAGTGGAGGTTGCAGTGAGCCAAAATTATGCCACTGCACTCTAGCCTGGGTGACAGAGCAAGACTCAAGACTCTATCTCAAAAAAAAAAAAAAAAAAAAAGACTGAATACCCCATCCAGATTTTTAAAACGTTAATATTGGTTGATGGGTGCAGCAAACCACCACGGCACATGTATATCTGTGTAACAAACCTGCATGTTCTGCACATGTATCCCAGAACTTAAAGTATAAAAAAATGTAAAACAATTTAAAAAGGTAACATTTTTCAGATAATTCACTCATATATTTCTTCCAACATTTTATTAAGAAAAATTTCAAACATAAAGAAGAGTTGAAAGAATTTATACAGTGAATATTCATATACCCACTTACTAATATTTCACCATATTTGCTCTATCAGGAATCTACCCATCTATTCATCCATTAATACAAGTTACTTTTTTATAAAGCATTTCAAAGTAGGTTGCAATTATCAGTACACTTCCATTAACGTCACTTTAGCATACATGCCGTTAGCTGGAGTTAAATATTTGTTTATGCTTTGTTCCTCTGGAGGTAAAATTTACATGGATTGAAATGCGCAGGTCTTAAAGGTACTGTGTGCTGAGTTTAGACAAATGCATACTATACCCCAGTCAGGATATCAAGCATGTTGTCACCTCAGAAAATTTTCTTGCATCGCTCTCCTGCCAAGTCCTGTCTGCCCACCATGGACATATTTTTATATCCATATGTATTAACACTACTAAGCAACATCCCTTTCCCGGTGCATTTTTACATCAGCACTGCTTCCCAAAAGCAACCACTTCCAACTTCTTTTTTCTTTTCTTTTTTTTTTTGAGATGGAGTTTTGCTATTGTTACCCAGACTGGAGTGCAATGGCACGATCTTGGCTCACCAAGACCTCCGCCTTCTGGGTTCAAACAATTCTCCCGCCTCAGCCTCCCGAGTAGCTGGGACTACAGGCGCGCACCACCATGCCCAGCTAATTTTTGTGTTTTTTTTTTGTGTAGAGACGGGGTTTCACCTTGCTGACCAGGATGGTCTGGAGCTCTTGACCTCGTGATCCACCCACTTTGGTCTCCCAAAGTGCTGGGATTATAGGCGTGAGCCACTGCGCCCGGCCAACTTTCAACTTCTTAAATTATTTCTTCTAGTACTTACCTCCATATTTTTAAATAACTTGCTTTTCCTGCTGTTTTCTTGATTAATTTTAGGCATATTTATATATATTTTGAGACAGAGTCTCGCTCTGTCTGCCAGGCTGGAGTGCAGTGGCTTACCGTAACCTCTGCCTCCCAGGTTCAAGCGATTCTCATGCCTAAGCCTCTTGAGTAGCTGGGACTACAGGTGTGCGCCACCATGCCTGACTAATTTTTATATTTTTTGTAGAGACAGAGTTTCATTATGTTAGCCAATCTGCCCACCTCGGCCTCCCACAGTGCTGGGATTACAGGCGTGAGCCCCTGTGCCTGGCCAATTTGAGGCAGACATAGACTGACTTTCTGGTCTGATGTTTTCATAGTGTGGCTTCCGCTGCCTGGCTGCCTGGCTTCCCAGCCCTTCCCCTTTCTGGCTGTATGAACTTGCGCAAGTAACAACCTCCTCAGGCCTCAGTTTTCTCATTTGTAAAATGAGAGTGATAAGAATAGTGCTTAGGTTATTGGACTTTATAAGGATTCAAGATGTAAAGGCTTAGAATAACGAACATCTCCCAGTGAGTGGCCAAACTGTTTCTTCTCATAATTATTATTTTCAAGAAATAGTTCACTTTTGGTTCCCCCCTTTCACTGGACATTTATCACAAGTTTGTGTTAAATGGATTTTAGTGTTATTTGTATTTTGACTATATAAGCACTGTTTCCTGCCAAGCCGAGTCCCATATTTTGGTTACATTTCCTTTCTTATACAACTCTTTGTTCTTCCTGGAGTTACTACCTGCTTTGCTTTTCTTTTTTTAATTTACTCAGTTTTCTCTTAACCCATCCTTAATTCTCTTAATTCTTTCACACCCTCAATCTCCCCGTAGTTAACATTACACATCCTGAAACCCTTCAAGTGCTTTTAAACAAGCATCCCCATCCATTTAAAAAATTGGGGCCAATTTTAA